TACGCGATTACCAAAAGGAGTTTGAGAGGAAAGCAAGCCGAGTTCGGGATTGGCCCGAAAAGGCACTAGTAGGTGCGTTTGTAGGAGGCTTAAAGGCTGAGTTGGCTGCGGAAGTATGGTTGGTTAGGCCAAGGCCGACAAGGGCGGCCATGGAAGCAGCGCGACTGCACGAGGATCATCTCGCGGCAGTGCGCAAGGCCAGACCGAGCGAGGGGCGCACGGACGTTCGGCGCGCGAGCGTCGCGGTCGACGATACGCCTCAACGCGCCGAGGTCAAGCCGACAGTCGGCGATAGTACACGCACCACTAGAAACTACCGAGGACTGACGGAGGATGAAATACAAAGGCGAAGAGAAAAAGGCTCGTGCTTTACTTGCAACGAAAAATTTGCTCCAGGCCACAAGTGCAAGGGTAAGGAAATTTTTGTGTTGGAAATTGAGGAGGAACGAGAGGAAGAAAAGCCGCAGGAAGAGTCTTGGTTGCACATGGTGAAGTGCAACAAGCGTGGACCTAGGATGATCAGATTCACGGCCGAGATAAAGGTAATGTTGTTGGAGGTTCTGGTGGACAGTGGGTCGAGTTTAAATTTCATCGACGAAAGGATAGCCCAAAAGCTGAAGTTAGTACCCACAAAAGTCAAGAGGTTTGGTGTCAAGGTGGCCAATGGACACGAGCTACAGGGAAGTCAGTTGTTCAAGAAGGTCCCGATGATGGCGCAGGATCACGAGCTGGAGATTGATCTTTATGCCTTACCACTTAAGGCAACAAATATTGTGCTAGGAGTACAGTGGCTGGAAACGCTTGGACTTATTACGACTGACTACAAGCGAGGAAAGATGGAGTTTGGACGACCAGGAAAGCGCATTAAGTTGAGGACTGAGGATCAAGGTGAATTCCCTGTTGAAGAAGAAGATAGTGATGTGGACGTGCTGAACTTTCTCATCCTTGGGGACAAGGAACGTCATGAAGAGAAGGGGAATGATGCGGAAGTGGTTGTCGAGGCCGAAGAGTGGTCGAGGGTGATCGATGGTCGAACGGGCGAAAGGCGCGCATCGGGCGATGATGCGCGGGAGCGGGTGGCCAGCACGCGGTCAGCAATGGGTGCACGTGGGTGCACGGTAGGCGAGCAGGCCGCGGGCGAAGGAAGGTACGCGTAGGCAGCGAGCGGTGGGCGAACTGGGCACGCGATGGCGCGCGAGTGGGCGACAGGCGCGAGCGCAGGCCTATGCGCAGAAGGAATAGGAGGGGCTGGAAGCG